CCCCCCCCAACTCATACTCTCTGCTTGGCTCCGGCCAGCAGCTAACCTTCCCTCTGGTGAGTCATGCGCCTGCAGTGCATATTTTCCCCTGTTTCAAAGAAAGGTACTAATTTGCTATTCCTGCATTAATTCCTGATATGTACGTATTAAGATTGATGTTATGATACCCTGCTTTGATGAAGAGTTATGGTCCTTTGTTTACCTGCATTCGTTGTTCGGGGCATATCTTATATACTGTGTCACCCAGAACTGCCATATGTTGTATGTGAGCACCTATTTGGATGGCAGGGTTCAACCCACTATATTTTAATTTATTATACCACATCTAGAGTTATGGCCCTTTGTTCACCATGCCATTGTTAGGTCAGGTATATATCATACTATGTCACCTACAGCTAACAAATTTCGTATGTGAGAATACCACTTGAAATAGTAGCTCAACGATATCCTACAGACACACAAATATGTTGGCATCCGAATTAAAACCATGTCATCCATTGAATAAGACACTAGATCAGGGGAAGTACAGCTCAGCAATATCTCATACTTGCTGACTCTCCCTTTTCTGAAGGGAGACTCTTGATTGTTGACCTTGAAATTGAATATATTCAGTCTGTAAATTAGCTTAACTATGCTTGTATTCTGAGACTGAATGAGTTCATCTAAAAGAACAATTCAAAAGATGCCATTCTTACATGTAACAGGAGAGGAAAAATGCGCAGCCAGACTGGGGTTCGAACCCGGGACTCTCTGAACTCCAGACGGACACTCTACCAATTGAGCTATCTGGTCGCCAACGATCATCCCAGTCCGGTTCAGCTACATTCCTCACTCCTTTTTCTAAGTCTTCACCCCCAAAGATATAACTATTTACAACCGATGTTCGGGTATTCCTTTGCCAGGCATACTCACTTACACCAAATGCTTGAAGGGTTGGTCACAGGCACCACTGTAACAGGAGAGGAAAATGCACAGCCAGACCGGAGTTTGAACCCGGGACCTTTCGAACTCTAGACAGAGGCTCTACTAATTGAGCTTTCTGGTCGCCGATGATCGACCCAGTCCAGTTCAGCTACATTAAAAGTATTACTTTTTACCAAGTGGTGTATACACACACACATACATATTTTTTTTTTAATTTTGAGCATGCTGATCATGAATCTCCCCAATATATGATACCTTGTTTGTATTGTATGTATGTTTGTTAATTATGTAATATCTATGTTTAATATAGGCCACAGGTTACGGCTAGGTCCCGGATTGGAACGATTCTAACCAGGGCTTTGGTTTCGTGCATTGTCAATACAGAGGACATCTTTAAAGTGGATAAAGAAACAGTAAGTATGATCAGGGCTCCGATAGTCAAAGCTTATGTAACAGAGGTCATTATTTTTTCAATGCCTCCGCTAGGAGTCGAACCCGAGAACTCTGGCTTACTAGTCTTACACTCTAACAAATGAGCTAAAGAGAAATTCTCCCTAGCCGAGTCAATAGGAAGCGGCTAGTATTTTATCAAGGTGACATACTCCACTTCCAGGAAAGAGATCGTCCCGAGTTTTCCAGGGGTCATAGCAATTCCTTTGCAAGTTTTGCTGAGTATTTTGTCAAATCTTCAGGATCTCTACGTGGGCGCCAATATAGCAGAGGTCTTTTTTTTCTCAATGCCTCCGGCAAGAGTCGAACCTGGGACCTCTGGCTTACTAGTCTTACACTCTACCGAATGAGCTAAAGAGAAATTCTCCCTAGCTGAGTCGGTAAGAAGTGGCTAGTATTTTACTAGGGTGATATACTCCCTAGCCGAGTCGGTGAGAAGTGGCTAGTATTTTACCAGGGTGACACTTAATAAGCTTATTAGTTAACACAGATTTACAACTTTTTTAGCAACAGTCACTCTATGTCCAAGCGTTCGGACTTGGCCCTACATCAGGCACTGAATGGTCCTCTCACTTATGTCGTATCCATATATTAAAACAGGAAATTACCACACTTGTTAATAATTGTGCAAACTTCCTGTTTACAAATATCGAGGTGACATGGGCGAGTACCATTCAGTCCCCGACGTAGGGCTAAACCTGAAAAGTATTATGTTTCCTGCAGGATCTTTGTGATAGACAGTTGTTTTCATCTTATATATATAATCTGCATTAAATAATCTCTGAAACCTGTATCAAACAGACTTTTTGTTAAGTATGACCATCTGGGTAAATTTCTTTATTATATTAAAAAAACTGTAATCAAATGGTTGCAAATCCAAACTTTTATGTAAATATATAACGTACCTTGCTATTCAATGCTTATCTACATCATTGGTGGTCGTGTGGCTTATGTAAATATATAACGTTCCTTGCTATTCAATACTTATCTACATCATGGGTAGTCGGATGGCTTATGTAAATATATAAGGTACCTTGCGATTCAATACTTATCTACATCATGGGTAGTCGGGTGGCTTATGTAAGTATATAACGTACCTTGCTATTCAATGCTTATCTACATCATGGGTGGTCGGGTGGCTTATGTAAATATATAAGGTAGGTAGCTTGCTATTCAATTCTTATCTATATCATGGGTGGTCGGGTGGCTTATGTAAATATATAAGGTAGGTAGCTTGCTATTCAATTCTTATCTATATCATGGGTGGTCGGGTGGCTTATGTAAATATATAAGGTACCTTATTGCTATTCAATACTTATCTACGTCATGGGTTGTCGGTAGGCTTATGTAGATATATAACGTACCTTGCTATTCATTACTTATCTACATCACGGGTAGTCGGGTGGCCTATGTAAATATATAACATACCTTGCTATTAAATACTTATCTACATCATGGGTGGTCGGGTTGCTTATGTAAATATATAACGTACCTTGCTATACAATACTTATCTACATCATGGGTGGTCGGATGGCTTATGTAAATATATAGCGTACCTTGCTATTCAATACTTATCTACATCATGGGTTGTCGGTAGGCTTATGTAAATATATAACGTACCTTGCTATTCAATGCTTATCTACACCATGGGTGGTCGGGTGGCTTATGTAAATATATAACCTACCTTGCTATTCAATACTTATCTACGTCATGGGTTGTCGGTAGGCTTATGTAAATATATAACGTACCTTGCTATACAATACTTATCTACATCATGGGTGGTCGGGTTGCTTATGTAAATATATAAGGTACCTTGCTATTTAATACTTATCTACATCATGGGTGGTGGGGTGGCTTATGTAAATATATAAGGTACCTTGCGATTCAATACTTATCTACATCATGGGTAGTCGGGTGGCTTATGTAAGTATATAACGTACCTTGCTATTCAATGCTTATCTACACCATGGGTGGTCGGGTGGCTTATGTAAATATATAACCTACCTTGCTATTCAATACTTATCTACGTCATGGGTGGTCGGGTTGCTTATGTAAATATATAACGTACCTTGCTATTCAATGCTTATCTACACCATGGGTGGTCGGGTGGCTTATGTAAATATATAACCTACCTTGCTATTCAATACTGATCTACATCATGGGTAGTCGGATGGCTTATGTAAATATATAAGGTCCCTTTCTATTCAATACTTATCTACATCATGGGTAGTCGGGTGGCTTATGTAAATATATAACGTACCTTACTATTCAATACTTATCTACATCATGGGTAGTCGGGTGGCTTATGTAAATATATAAGGTACCTAGCTTGCTATTCAATTCTTATCTATATCATGGGTGGTCGGGTGGCTTATGTAAATATATAAGGTACCTTGCGATTCAATACTTATCTACATCATGGGTAGTCGGGTGGCTTATGTAAATATATAAGGTACCTTGCGATTCAATACTTATCTACATCATGGGTAGTCGGCTGGCTTATGTAAATATATAACGTACCTTGCTATTCAATACTTATCTACGTCATGGGTGGTCGGGTTGCTTATGTAAATATATAACGTACCTTGCTATTCAATGCTTATCTACATCATTGGTGGTCGTGTGGCTTATGTAAATATATAACGTACCTTACTATTCAATACTTATCTACATCATGGGTAGTCGGATGGCTTATGTAAATATATAAGGTACCTTGCTATTTAATACTTATCTACATCATGGGTGGTGGGGTGGCTTATGTAAATATATAAGGTACCTAGCTTGCTATTCAATTCTTATCTATATCATGGGTGGTCGGGTGGCTTATGTAAATATATAAGGTACCTTGCGATTCAATACTTATCTACATCATGGGTAGTCGGATGGCTTATGTAAATATATAAGGTCCCTTTCTATTCAATACTTATCTACATCATGGGTAGTCGGGTGGCTTATGTAAATATATAAGGTACCTAGCTTGCTATTCAATTCTTATCTATATCATGGGTGGTCGGGTGGCTTATGTAAAGATATAACATACCTTGCTATTCAATACTTATCTACATCATGGGTAGTCGGGTGGCGGATTGGATAACACACTCGCCTTTCACCTAAGTGGCAGGGGTTTGATTACACACACAGGGAGATATTACCCAGGTGGCATAGAACTAGTAGTTAGCACCTGATATGGCCGCTCCTGTGAAATCCTCAAAATTGTATATTCTAATTGTAGTAATTGTATATCTATGTAATGTAAAGCGCTTTAGAGTGGCTTATGTTAGCTAGATAGGGCTCTGTATCAAATGCCATATATTATTATTATTATAGTTTTAAGCTTTAAATTTCAATAAAAAAAATCATTACACAAGTTAAAATTTTAGAATTTACTTCTGAACCTTAAATGAGCTATTAATTGGACATAAGAAATGATATTAAATGAACAATGTATTTTTAGACCAAGGAATCCTTGAAGAAGTCTGAGAGGACACAGATGGCATTTCAGATTGAACATATGGCAATAAAACGTGGACGGTTTCGCCGGCCCAAGTTTACAACAACACAGCCCGTTCAAGGTACAGGTTTAGTAAAATTGATGTAGTTGAGGCTAAAGGTGATGATGTAAAGGTACTGCTTGGAAACCTGTGGAAACTTGTGGGTCCTTATGTCACACAAATGCATATATAACATGACTTCTGTTAACGTTTTACCCAAGGGGCAAATTTTGAGGGGTTAAATTCTGCGTCATTTACATTATAGATAACAATAAAGAAGGGTTGAAATTTGTCATCATTTACATTATATTCTTAGAGGCCACAATTTACTACACACCTAAACCATAGAGGCCACAATATGTAATATACTTCACTCATTCCATAGAGGCAACACTATAGCACACTAACTCTGTAGAGGCCACAATACGTTACAACACTATGGCACACTAACTCTGTAGAGGCCACAATACGTTACACTAATTCTATAGAGGCCACAATACACTACACTCATTCTGTAGAGGCCACAATACACTACACTAATTCTGTAGAGGCCACAGTACGCTACACTAATTCTGTAGAGGCCACAATACGCTACACTAATTCTGTAGAAGCCACAATACGCTACACTTATTCTGTAGAGGCCACAGTACGCTACACTAATTCTGTAGAGGCCACA